TCTATAAATGTAAAATAAATCATACTTCTGATTTCGCTAGCACTGTTGTTCACATCTGTTACTGTCACGTAGTTATTATTCTTGGTTCCTTAGTGTTTACATTACTAAGTTATATAACAAAATGGAGGTCTATTCATTATGTTACCATGTGACTATTCAGAAATTACCAAGTTCTCTGGACTGTGAGACATTCCCAGATTTTAAGGTAAAAACCTTTGTTGCTTATATATGGAAACACAGTTCACCATACTCTGACAGGCTAATTTTAAGCAAATTATTATTCTTCTGTTTCTTGCATAGGTGTTCTTATTGGTGGTATTGTAACAAATTGTTACAAGTCATAATGAGAAAACAGCAATATGGTACTAGTCTTACACATCAGAGCCCCTAAAATCCCATATCATACCCATCACTTCATCTGTTGTTTGCAATGTCATTGTCATTGTCTTCAGACAAAGCCTCTTCTTTCATGCTGTCAATGGCATTGCTGATTTTATTTTTTTATATTTGCCTCAGTTTTTCACCAACTTCCAGGAATGTTTCTTTCATTCATTCATGTACTTGTGAAATTGTTGTTTCATCAGATCCATTTCCTTAGTCCGTTCTTAACACTTTAATGTCTTAATGGTTTGTTAATTGAGACATTCAATGACTACATTTGGTTAGTAAGCTTGTCTTGAGTCATGACTGTATTTTTAATTTTGCAACTGCCTTTTTTCTTGGCTGTGTTATGTGATCTGAACTGATCATACTGAGAGGGCTGGTTTCTACAGGTCACCAGAATGTGCCAGCAACAATTTATCTATCCACACCTTCATCCATCCACTGTCATGAACATGGATGAAAATTTCACATGAGATTTTGTCCTTTTCCTGTATCTTTTGAATATCTCACCAGGGGTGAGAAGTATTGTACCATCTGCTAGAATAGTTTGTGGAGGACCAAATAGTCTTTCATCTGCCATGTTTCCATATTCTTTGCTGTAATTTGTGACTTGTAATTTAATCACTGTAGTATTTTAAAATCTCTTCTACCTTCAACCCATTGCATTAAAACAAAAGCAGTATTATCAATTATGAGTTCAGCACTTTAATCCTCATACACTCATGGTTATTGTGTACTGTGTGGAGATACTATAAAAAGTAAAATCTTTGGTTTACCCTCTTTTTAGGCATCTATTTTTTCTCAAGAAAATAGTTACTTGCTGACAAATCCCAGTGTTAATGAGAGGACACGAAATAATAGCCAAATTAAAAATGTTTTAACTAGTTTATAACAGTTTATATTTGTACATTTTTTAAGTTTAATTTGCCAGAATCATGAAATTACTTGGTTACTTCTCTCTAATATAATATTTTTAGGATACATTACTATGCATACTAGCAACCTTTAAAGAGTTCCTTCATTAAGATCAATTTGTTCATGATTTTAGCATTAGTTATTTCTAAAATCTTGCAAATTTGTATTGAACTAATGTGTTTTGTTGTAGCACTCAAATAGCCCTTCATTTGTGGTAAATAATGTTACTTTTATGTTATCACTAATAGTCATAATTTATAAATTCTTACCTTATTTCTAGATTGTGTTTTTGTATTTGTATTTTTAATTATCCATAGAGAAGTCAGTACTTCAAGATGTAAATAAAACTGTTCAATCAAAGGTACTGGCATTTCAGTGATACAAGTACTAGATATCTATCCTGTGAGAAAATATAGGGAACTATATATATATTTGATTAGCGGATTTCAGCATGTTAAGTAGCACTCTGCTTCATGGAGTTTGTAATAATAGTATATTCTGCAAGATTAAAATGCTTCATCAGATAATGCTTATTAGTAAAGAATAGTTCGGGAATACATAAACTTTCAACCATTAAATATGCATGTTAGCAGGTAGTGCACACATAGTTTATAAGAACAAGTTACTTTTGTGTACTTCCCACAAAAGGGTGCAGTTTTAAATGTTTATCAGTTCTTTTAATTTTAAATATGTCTATGCATTTAAAGTTTTCAATTTTTCATGTGATTTGCAGAGATTCGCAATTTTGTGAAATGACATCATGTGGTGTGTTAGTTTGCCAGAATGTTGGAGAAATTAGAATTAATAAATTTGCTCCATCAGAAGTCATGGTAATGTTTCAGAATTGTAATCCATCAGTACAGCTTCCAGAATATACTTGAAAATAATGCACTCTCTTGCACAGAAATATTTTGTTCTTGAATAAGCAAACATAATTATAAGCCATCAGGTGCACTGTAACAGGGCAGAAATATGAGTCTGCAGCTTGAAAATGTTAATCTGTAGATCACCATCTCTGCTATCATCATTACATAATCTTCACACTTACCAGTTATATGCTATGAATGCTTCTGCTGTATTGGTGGATTCCTTCACTCTTTGCTAAGTAGACAGAAACCAATGAGGTTAAAAAGTAACTGGAGACATTCTACAGAAATTTGTAAATCATTTCATTTTAAATAACACTGTGTTTCAAGAATAATTAAAAATAAAATTATGTATTTAATAGAATGTTTCAAATAAGGGACCAAACAGGCATTGCAGATTTATGTAATTGATGTGTTCATGATATTGCACAAGTTCTGGCAACACTTTTCAGCACTTGGTTATGAAATTACAGTTTTAGAGCATGTCCATTTTCCTACATTTTCAGGTACAGCCTATGGCAGTGGTTTTTGAAATGCATACCTATCTGGAACCCAGGGGTTCAAGAGGATGTTGGGTTCCAAATTGAATATTGATTACAGAAGGGTGCATTTGCAGGTTACTATATAGAATATTTATTTTAACACAGCTCTTCCTAATTTTCAATGGTGATAAGAATAATTTTATTTTTCTTGTTAAAATTGTAACCAATTCAAATAAAACATTGCATCTCTCAAGTCTTGTGGAAGTTATACATAGCTGAACAGTTTCAATTCTGGTGTTTTAGGTTGTGACATCATGTAGTCTTGTGAACGGTTACCAATATTTCAGAGCTCCAGCAGCCTCTGTCTTCAGGGTAGAAGCAAGTGGAATTGGGATTTCGATGAATTATACAGGATCCTGTCCACATATACATGCAGAAATGGTGGAGGGATTGGATGAGGGAGAATGAGAAAATAGGCCAATCAGAGCCAGGGTTAGGGGTTGGGTGAGGAGACTGCCATGTTCAGACCAGTGGGAACAAGAAAGGCCCTTTTTAGGCCAGTGGAAGTACATGTCTTGTCCTTAGAACCTTCCTTTATTCCTTCAATGCAAAAATGGAAGGCTTCCATGACCTGGCTAGTTAGTTCTTTTCATGAACTATTTATGAAAGCCTTGCATTCATAAGGCATGTATTTCCATAAAATACTATAACACTTGATTTTAAATATCAAAGTTTTTAATGCTTGGAATAACATTGAAATGGTTTTTTAAGTAATTTGTGAGGTGATGAGGGATTGTGGGTTATATCTGTGAACACTGATAATGTCATATAGTGCTGAAACATGTCTAGAAATAAACTAGCATTGTGATAAGTGTGGATGGTCATGTGATATATAGCAGAAATATACTTCATTAAGATTTGTAACAGGATATTTTCACCAATGTATGACAGAACTGCTAATGCCAAGCTGCAGAATACCCGTCAGAATAACTCTTAGGATTTTGTAACCGAGTGTTTCATGTCCATCAACAATAGGTACTTTTCCACTGAATATATATCATACACATTGTATTTTGTCTAGGTTCTGGAAGTTACACTGCCTTCTGTGGTTCACCTTCGGTCGAGTGAGACCTCCATGAGCCAGAATTGTTTCCTGTTTATTGATCCTCACCCACTAAACATATCCTGATGATCCTTAAATACATGCTGCCTACATTATATTGGGTGTACAGTAGCAGCATTATGAACTACAAATTCAAGCAGAACTTACATTTTTTAAACAAGGTAAGGAAACTGCACATTGTATTAAATTTAGTCATATTGACATTATATTAGTATTTGTTTTAACTTATAAATACAATAGTTCTTGAAGACAGCTGTCTTCTGTGATGTATCACCATTCAGTCTGGTAGATATTAAATGATATTTCAGAGGAGCTTACAGCCTGTATCATCAGAGTGACAATTTGTTGTGTTGTTTGATCTGTGTTTGTGTCTCAAAATGAGGATGTTTTAGTGTTTAAAATTGATGGTAAAGTCATATCATCCGTGTACACCACTATGCACCATTTACATTACAACTAAATAGACTTATTAGTACAAAACATTGGTTCCCAAATTATGCTCTCATGGAAACCTGATGTTCTACAAGCTGGACCAAGATGTTCTGCCACCAAAATTGAGTAATGGTGGACTAGCTGCAGTTCAGTTATTTGTCAAGATGGACAGAACATGATATTTTTCTGAGAATAATATTTTGAATGATTGCATAAAAAATCAGTTTCTCATGTTCTGTAGACAGGAGCATAATGTCCAGGTCCACTGCAAACTGAAAAGTTTGAGAACCACTGGCTTAAAACAATGACCTATACATCCACTTAGGTACCAGAGTTTGTCTACTGGATATGCTAGTTTTCAGTACATCAACTACATTTCTCTCACCATGGAACCAAAATGTTTAATTCTAACAAAATTTGGAATCAAATTTCAACCATCTCCCTCTTATAACCTACTACACTGAGATCCATTTGAATACTATCTTCACTTCTTGGGTTTCCAAGTAGCCACTTTCAAAGAGATTTTTATGTAGCCATTTGTTTTCCTTATGCGAGTTGTGTACTTATTTCATCAGATTAATCTTCATAAAAGAACACTAATTCAATGTTATTGTTAAATCCTCCTTACTTTTTCCAGTTACAGTAAGTTGCAGTTTAAAAATGTTGTTTGTATTTATAGTTTATTCAGTGATGCTGCCAGTATTTCAGACTAACATCAAATAATAGGATTATAAGAGTAATGAATTGAAAATGATTTGGAACCAAACAGTTGTGGCTCCATTTAATGTATTGTCCCAGTATTTGACTGGGGAAAACCATGAAATACTTCAGTCAGGATAGGTGGTCTCCAGGCCATGACTAACCTGGAATGTACCAAATATGACTTAGGAGTACTAACCACTTGCCCATGACTCTCAGTATTTTGTATTTAAAATATAATTCTAGGCAATTTGATACAACTTATATTTAATAAAACATTTCATGTATAAAAATTTACAATAATTAATGTAGAGTGGTGAGCTCATAACTACCAATAGTATTAATGACTATGTCTGCCACAATGAATGAACTAACTTGCTTTTCCTTTCACATGAATAAATCAATTTATTATTAAGAATACAAAGAATTTTTATAACAAATGGAGTACTAGTGTTTTATCATCAATTCAGAGTTAGTGGCAATTCAACAGTACTCTGCATTCCTCTACTCCTATAACATTTTAAAAGATTACTTCAATTGACATTAGTTATAGCATAATACATTTATGTGTTTCTGTAAAACAACTGGTAGCTATAGATACATATCCTTTTGTTGAAAGAGGATATCACAAATGGGAAACTAGGAAATTCTCAAAAGACGTTTATGTAACAGAACTGTTGCATCAAAAACTTTGGTGTTATCTTATGTATAATATATAATTTATGTTCTGTATAGATTATGATGTAGCTACAAATGAAGTGTTGCAGCATTTATTAGATTAAAACGGCAAAGATAAGGGTGGATATTCAAGAACACCAAAATAATCTCAAAATATTTGCAGTTATATAACAGAGCTTTAAACATTTCTGGTAAAGGGAAAGCTCATTTCTGTATGTTGAAAAAATGAACAAAGTCTGCAACTACATGAATAAGTCATTATGAAACTTGGGCTTGGTGCAAAATATCAGCCCTCTTTGGCCTTCTCATAAGAATTTAGTCCTTCAGATGTCTCAAGTTTCTAGTCCATCATTCCTCTGGACACTGTCAGATACCTTCTCAACCTTCTGGACGCTATCAGACAACATCTCAGCACTGTCATCATTCTGAGGCAGCTCCTGGCCACTCTCAGGCAACTTCTCAGCCATTTGACTTTTCCCATTCTGCTCTTCAGTTCCCTGGCAACTCTTTGGCAACTCTTCAGCATTCTGAACTCTTTCCAGTCCCTCCTCAGCTTTTTGGCTACTCTCAGGCAACTCTTCAGCTCTTTGGCTACTCTCAGGCAACTCTTCAGCTATTTGGGCACTTGCAGGCACATCTTCAGTCCTTTGGGCACTTTCAGGTACCTCCTCATTACTCTGGGCACTGTCAGGTTCCTCATTTGTCCCGCAGATCCTCCCACATAGACTGAATCCCTCATCCTCATTTTGTGTCCTTTCACTTGACAATTCATCCACACCTTTGTGGACAATATATGCTGCAGCGTAAGTAATCCCTTTGGAACAAGAAACAAATAAGTAACTGACACATAGGACTTTTCTCTGCACTTATAGAAAGTTTAGATCATTAAGTATAAATTAACAAGGCTGGTTAATTTCTGTAATATAAATTTGCTTGTTTTGTGTATGTAGATTCATGAAGTATGCTGTAGTACAGAGTAAACACAACTAATTTTTATCACTCATTTTTGTTGAATCATTAATGAAAATAAATATATGAATTTCAGTTGGTGAGAAATTCCTAAAAATTAATTTGCAAGTCTGTGAATTAGACCACCAAGTAAATGTAGTCCACTCTACAAGCATAATTATCCATCCTTGAATGTGTTATTTGTATAACATTAATGTTAAAAGACATAAGTTTCTTTCTGTTCAAATGTCCTTAATGTTAACAGACAAGCTTAGCAGAATTATGAAGTTTTTATATTTATGATATAATTAATAAAAAAAAATTATGCTAATATCTGTTACATTTTATGTAGCACTAAATTATTTTGATTGTTATATTAGTACTTACAACTATGTTCACATTATGCCCTCTGTGATAAATCACTATAAATAGAACATAGTACATCTAAGATTATCTATGAGACAGTTTAGAGTCCATCCTAGAACAGCTTAAGAAATTTTGAATGTATCTCCTTGAAGGTCATCCTTCATTCCTCATTCCAGAAGGAATATAGTTCTACTCATCATTCTAGGAAATCTGTCTATGCAGTGAATACATTTGTTTTTATATATTTGTATGAATTATGGTTCACTCTTTTTTGTTGAAAGGATATACAGATTACATAACTCATACACATGTTACTGTAATGGTTTCAGTGACTCTTCTCAGCACTGCTTAAAATTCTCCTTTTAAAATTCACTTCTCTAGTACAATTTTAACCATGGGTGTAGGTACTACAATATAGGGAGGTCTCAGCTGTGCTCAGGCCTTGGAAATCAGGGGACCTCTTTCTGCATTCAGGCAACCCACAAGTGAGTAAATATTTATTTCATCAATGTACCTTATTGATAAATATATATAAATGGAAATAAGTAACAGTGGTAAGAAAGTTACTTCAAGATAATTTAGAAAGGTTTTGGAAATTTGAATGACTTGTACATGTGATCACGTCTAGTGTGTTTAGGGTTTGCTTTCAATGGGATTAAAGTGTAAAATTGACCAAATGCTAGGTTGCACCTGTTATCTCATAAGTTCACTACCCTAATAATTTTAACCATATTATATGAGGTAAGAAACAAGAATATCTGAAGAATTTAATAGCATTTCACTACCTAAAGTTTTCAAATATAAAATCATACTGTTATTGTTAAGTCTTGTCATGCAAATCTACTGGCCTTTACCATGATTCCCTAGTATGGGGAATATGATCAGAAGTTTTATGTGTATTGGCAGCTCATATTTTATATGTTTCACAAAAATGCAATATTTTCCAAACTAAACCACACATTTAAAGTGTTACAAGCAATGTTCATGCACGACTTAATTAGCTGATAGTATCAGAATAATAAATTGTTTGTGTTGCATTTGTCACATGATCTGTTAAGTTTATTTCATTGTTATGAGACTTGAATAGAAATCCATACATGGCATTACCTATGTTGAAACATGCTGGAAGGAGGATGTTCCGGTTCCAGAGTTTTTGAGTAATTAAGTAAAATAACAGGCTAGCAATCTGGAATAGACAACTACCAGTCTTGCATGATACCCATGGGACAGCATATCCACGCTGCTTCTGTACAGAAATACAAACACATTGCAGTCCGTCGTGGTAGTACCTCATCCGTTGCATCCCAGAATTTGTGGTTCTACACTTGTGGATTAAAGTCGTTTCCAATCTCACAAGGACATTTTATTTAGTTTTAACAGAAACAATTTAAAATATTATTTCTAACCAGGCATAAATATTCGTTCCATAATTTCAAATCAAAATGTAGAAAAAAATGTAATAGTAGATCTGAAACTTTACATTAAATTTCCTCTTCACATTGAATGAGTAGCAATGCCGAATCTCTTACGAGAGAATGGGAGCTGGCATAAAAGTTTAAAATAAGCTCTTCGAAAGCATCGACAGTTCTCCTGAGGGCAATAAACTTTATACAGTTCTATATTCTATGTACCTGTGATGGCGTTATGTACACCATAGACAGAGTCTAATGTCAAAATCATTACTGAATATTGAGTTTGAAAAATGTGGAATGAAGCAGCATTGTCCTAATTTCAGGTACTACTAAGACGTTTACTTGGAGAGGCAGAGAGAGAGAGACCACGAACATCTTAGGAAACCTGGTCTCCGGGCTGAGATTTAAAGACAGGACCTTCGGAATACGAAGCAGGAGTTCTAAACATGAACAGCGACTTTCGATATTGTGCAGACTTCTAAGGTATGTAATAGCATTTTATTATCACTCATTCAAGTGCCAATGATTTTATTATGATGACTTTGGAATGCGGGACTTCTTTTTGTGTTCCTTTCCACGTGTTGGGTGCATCAACTTTCACTAACCGGAGTAGGCGTCCATTCTAACACCGTAAAAGAACTTATTTTTTCAGTGCAATTGATGTTATTAAATCCGGGTGAAGTAAGTTCGTGTTCGCTAATTTAGCACAGTAATACTTTAGTGTTAATTGTAATCACGTGTGCCGTTAGAGAAACTTATGATATTCCTGGGAACACTAAGGTATGCTACCCGAAGTTCCAGGAAACCCTTCCTAAACTTATTAATGGTCCCTATGTTGTCATGTATTGTTTGACTAAAAGATCGCGAACAAATGTTTGAACATTTTGAAAATAATTTGGCTTGAGATGGTACACCATTCTTTGACATAAACAGAAATATTCCCGATCTGATACATTAACCAGTTTGATGCAAATTTGTGAGGAAAATGAAAGAGCAACAATTATAAGTAAAGTGACGTATATTACAAAATATCAGGATAATTACTTACAAAATTTATACGTTCTTTTAAACGTAAATTGTATTTATCACAATCGATTCTCAAATCCTTGTCTTCAAATTTTACTAGAATTCTTAATCAAATTCTTGAGAATTATCACAATTTCACATTAAAACAAATGTACTTACCACTACGAGCGCCCACAGCAAGAACATGCTGCATAGCCACTCCATCCCTGCATAAACGTAGCAGAGAGTTATAAGTAACTTGCGAGCTGGAAAAGCCAAGAAACACCAGAAGTCTTTGTTTAGAGAATGAACGGAGAGGCGAGAACAGTGCACAGAATTACTGCCACCAGAGCCCCCGAAGAACTTCCCTCTTTTTGTGAAAATGCCACTTTAAAGAGATCAGGTTCTGCAGAAAGCGCGCAAGTTTACGTCAGTTTGAACATTCGGAATTTCTTCTGATGAATATAGTTTAATTTGATTGTTGATAAATATTTTAATCACCGTTACATTTATGTACACTGTAACCAACACAAAAATTGTGTATACATGGAAGAGGCGGACTTGTTGGGAATTTGATCCTCAGTTCTTAATACGAGTCTCGTAGTTAATATCACACGATATGTTGAAATGTAATTTCACAGAGTACCGATAACAGCAAGATTTGGAGCTTTCACGGAGACTGAATGCACGAAATTTACTAATCAGAGATTATAATTTTACCCCAGACCAACAAATTTTATAGCATGATGCAGACTTCAAATGTGTTTCGCACTGAGTTTTCAAATTCAATTGCATTTTGACTCATGTACACCTTCAGTATGTTTTGTAGGTTTACTTTTGAGTGTGATTATCTTACCTTAATATTCAGATATTCAGTTCTACTCGTACTTGACAAGGTATGAGTTATATTGTAAATGTATCACGATTTCTAATATTTGAGCGATATTTCCTTAAATTACATTATCTGTAGTCAATTCCCTATGCACTGCTATGCTGGCTTCAGCCTCAGATATGTCAGCAAAGTTGGAAAGGAAGGTACTTCCACACACATGTTGAGCAAACATTTAAAAATATTATTAAATTACGTGTAGATACCATTTTACAAATTCAGTTCCAAACTCAACAGTTTTGGACTTGAGACCGCCTGAAACTTGCTTAGGCCCTACCGTTAAAAAATGAGCGAGTATTTGTTCATGTTTTCTTGTTACTACTATCGCAATAAAATATCTTGAAGGGAAAGCACTTTCTAAAAGAATTCCCTTCAACATGAATTTGCTAAAGCATATCATATACTTACAGGGACTTATAACCTCGTCAGGTTGAGTGGGATATGCGTAAAACATTTCTATATCAATTCCAATCAATACGGCATATTTAAAGGGAAAGGGATTGATTAGTTCCATTATGAACACGAACGCTGACAACACCTGCAATAAATATTCAGCATTAGATTACATATTTCCCTTTCTAAAAGTGGGGCAGGCGTTGTTTGTACATGCATAACCACTTGCAATTCTGAATCAGTTATCAAGTTTGTGTCTTTGTGACAGAAGCATTACTGTATTAACCCATTAGAGACCAGTGGTATCTCTGTGTACCACAGACTTTAACTTTAATTAATTCTGCATTTTGCCCGCAGTGTATCTTGTGTATTTCTTATGACTCTCAGAATAAACAGCGATTGTTTACGTGAGCAGAATTAACCGATTTTATCTTTTGAGAAAATGGAGCTTGAAGGGCTTAACTGCGACACTACTTCCACGAGTTCGTATATTTCAACTGCACACTTCGAACTACCAGCGCTTGTGATTTTGAATAAAATATATTCACAAAGGAGCTAAATATTTCTTTGTAACGGGCTTTAAATGAGCTGCAGAAACCGATTTCCCAGTTTTGGGATTTTCTCTTTCGTTCACGAAATTGATAGAGGTTCAGCCATATGAAGTTTAGCAAGTAAATGTTGACTTCAATCGTCTTCGAAACTCTTTTACCATGTTCTGTTACTACGTGCTGATATGCAAAATCATAATACACAGCAGATTCTTCGAATGTGTTCGGCACGCCTAATAACATACCAACACATCTCAAATATGAATTGATTAATAACAGAACCAAAAATGTATCTACTACATATTGCTCAAAATTCCTTCCATAATTGTGTGTTACTTACCATGTCCAATGGGGCGATAAATTTCGCAACTTTTTTGTAATTTATTCTCATTATTTAGCATAAATTGATTCTTACAAGCGAAGCTTTTGGAAGTCGCACAAGAAACTAATGCACGCTGGAACTCTTACTTAAAAATCCAATCAGAAGGAATACAGCTGTAGCCAGATCCGTCGCACAAATGCGAATGGTGTCCTGTGTATCGAGTTCTTTCTGGCCGTAAGACCACTGGTAAATACTGCAAGAATCCCAGAGGGAGCCACAGTGTTTACTAGTAGCGACAGTGCGTACAACAATTCTGTATCCAAATTAAAGCACCATTCATAAAATAAATAATGTTGCGACAAGCAGTGAAATCGTCCGTATTTTCAGGAATCTGGAATCATGAGTTTGAATTAAATTTTTAGAGTTCTGCAATTGAAAATAGCCAACAAATAGAATAAATTTAAAATATGTGTACTTCTTTCTGTGGTGTGGAAACTGCACTTTTATACACACTGTTGAAGTTGCATTTCGTCAGAAACGAGAATGTATTTTTTAGAAACATCAGAACATGTTTGCCTGTTTTCTAGCCATAGGCCTACCTCAAAATAAAAGAAGTCCGACAGTTCTCTAAATCTTATTCTTTTTCCGGTTTAACAATGTTTATACATTTTCCGGTATCCTTTTACGGGTCCCCAACTTTTTTTTTTAGTTGGCTTGATCTATGGATATTCGGTAGGACTCCTTGGACGAGGGATCGGCCCGTCACAAGGCTTCTACCTATACAGTTCTCTAAATAAATGCAATAATGTAATGAGCCTAAATTGCATTAAATAAGGAATCCTGCAAAACATACAAAATTTTAAGTTTAAAAAAATTAATAGAAATTATTGAAGACCTTAGTGAAATTAGTATTAATAAAAGTTTTACAATTATATTCGTTTGATATCAAGAATATTTGTACCAAAAGCGAGGTGCATTGCACGACTTTCAATATCCGTCACGTTGGTAGGAAATTAGAAATTGTGGGTTTAGGGTAGTGACCTGTGGGATTTACGTCCTTACCAAATTTAATTAATTTTCGTCCAGCTATTTGTTAGGTACTAAATGCAGCAATTGTATTTTAATGAGATCACAAATGTTGACTATCCGACAAGTCCTTCGTGGCTACTGAGACTGAATATCTTTCTGACTTTCACAAAGCTGAATGAAGTGAATCTTTCGTTCAAAGAAAGAATGTAATCACATTTAAAGCAATAGATAAACTGTCTTCGTTGTTACGAAAACGATAATTTTTTATCCTCGTCGGTTGAACAAAAAATTCTATCACGCTTATATTACGAAAATTGTGACTTTCTCGTTAAAAGGTGTAATTGGACGCGTTTATTTGCAGAGTAATTGGGCTGCATCTTCATGACTTGCGCTCCGATATCTAGGAATATTTCCCTTCAACAAATGACAATGTTTGGGACGAAATCCATTTTTAACAGGAGACAAGCTAGTCGATTTATCACGGCAAGATTATGAAACACTAATTGAAAGTTCCAACAAAAATAAGGATATTCACCAATTCATTTTTGAAGTTGCGTAATTCAAGAGTATCTGACTGGTAAAATGTGTGGTTCGTAGGTTGCTTTTCTGAACTAAAACATACACTCGCGATACTGATTTTTCACATTATCCTATAATCAAACGTCCTGGCACACCTAGTTTGTAAACGGGAGATCCCGAGTTAAAATCTGTGCTGCAGACGGGCTATCCTGATTGAGATTTTTCATAATTTTCTTCAGGCCTTCTAAGAAAATGGTGGGAGAATATGAGACTCTAGCTATTAAGCATCACTCCTAATGTTAAATTTATTTTCAGAGAACAGAAGTAAATACACTTCCCATGAATTAGGTAATGAATTGCATTTGAAATAACTACGTTTTTCAATTCTTATTTTCTGTCAGTAGGCTATAAGAAATCAAACCTTGTTGTCATGATTTAGGTAATTTATGTAGATACTAATTGTAAAAACTGTGGCATGTTCTATTTCTTATTTTCCATCATTGTGGGACAGGAGTTCACAACCGCTTAAGATCGTGGGCCACATTCGCATTGACGTACAGCTACTAGGTTGTAAATGAAGACAATTTATTGAAGTTTCGTGGCAATTTATTAAAAATTTCTAACGTAGTCACAAATTGTTTCACATTTTACTTTAAAAAATGTATTTATTTATTATTATTCACTTAATATTAAGTGGGGCCTCTTAATTTAGACAGTAATTATTTTCATTTACAGAAGACACAATATTACAAAATTCTATGTGGGCTTCCCACAATATACAGGCAGGTATACAGAACCCCTGCTATAAATGTCTTAGCCTTTTCCAGTCTATTTATTTCTATAAACATATTTTTTATGCCTTATACCCCATCAGGTGGGGCATAAAACAAGAAAGGGTAAAGTGTTTTATGAGTACATTAGCTTCTAGGATGGTCCAAGGTTGAGACTAGCTTGACCAGGGGGACAAACATGGGGGTTCCCTCACACCAGTCACTTGAAGATGGATGTAGAACCAAATTTCAAAACAATGTGGTTTTAATTAAAACAGACTACAGATATCCTATCGGAACTGCAGTCACCACATCAGGCTTATGGTCAACACCCTTGCCTGGTACCACGTGTTTTAGACTGGTTTTTGTTATCACAAACTATGTCGTGGTTATTGTTAATGAGTGATCAATAATTCTGATTGCTAACTATTTTTTGTTCCGATAATGATAATGAGCAAAGGAAGTGTATCATAGTTATGGCACATTACTTTTTCTAAATTTACTTTGTGTGAAAAAGTGATGTAAAAAATCATGGCCGCCCTCTTCCGGACTTACAAGTAGTTAAAACATCGTCGATCACGTATGTTTTTTCTCCTGATGTAAATTTACTTTTCATTTATTTATATTGTTATGTTAAAACTTTGCATACCGTGTAGTGTATTAGAATATAAAATAAGCAAACAAACAAACTATTAAACACTATCACGTGTATTTTTATAGTGTTTAATAGTTTGTTTGTTTTATATTCTATATTGTTATGTGTTGAAACACTATTCTGATTTTTCCTTCTTGTGCAGCATTACCACTGCTCAGGCTATATATGTAAAAATTACAATGATTATTACAGACACCAGCTGTTAACTTCTCACTGTTAATGATTGTGTACCAAACAACTTTTCTTTCACATCAGTTTTATTACAATAGATTAAAATGACAAAATAAAAGCTGAAATACTTACATTTATATAACAAATCTTAGAAAAGGAAATATTATAATATATTTTGCATAATTCAAATATTTTTGAAAAAGAGAAAACGCATTTCCGTATGTTGCAAGAAATGAGCCAAAAGCTGCAACTACAGAAACAAAGATATTAATTATGTACATGCTAAGGTGTATAAGTCTTCTTTATCTTGACTAGAAAAAATGGCTCTTAATCCAGACTTTTCAACAGTTTCAAATCCCTCTTCAGTACTCTGCATACTAGTGTTTTTCTAATCAGTGGTATTGGCACTGTCTGATCCCTCTTTAGGCTTCTGAGCACTGAAGGGCTCCTCTTCATCCCTCTGGGCACTGACGGGTTCCTCTTCATCCCTCTGGGCACTGACGAGTCCCTCTTCATCCCTCTGGGCACTGATGGGCCCCTCTTCATCTGTCTGGGCACTGATGGGTCCCTCTTCAGCCCTCTGGGCACTGATGGGCCCCTCTTCATCCGTCTGGGCACTGATGGGTCCCTCTTCAGCCCTCTGGGCACTGATGGTTTCTTCTTGAGCTCTGCTGATCCTTGTATAGAAACTCCTGCAGACTGTCTCACAGAAACTGTATTTCTCATCAGTATCTGATGACCTGTGCTCCTCCAGTTGATACACGGCTTTTGCCACAATTTGTAATGCAATGCAGCTATATACTAACAGAAGAAGAAACATATTACAATTACATGACATATTCCTAGAAGCGCAGGAAAATATAGGTTTTTGAATGGAAATGAATGATTGATTAATTGCAGTGATGTAAATATGCATACTTTGTATATATAATCTTTAAAATAACATATGTATTCGTTTAAAAATACACTTAGTGGCTGCAAATCCAAATACTTATACTCATCAAACGATTATTGTTTTAATCATTACATGCATGACATACATTTTATTAAGTATACTAATACCCTTTTATATGTTTACATCATGTCATCTGTGATAAATTTTTATAAAATTGTTTTCTGCAGTTCTAAGGCCCTTTTTAGACTATAAATTTGGTATGTCATATTACAGGAGAAAAATGTTTATGAAGTGCATAGTGATGACTAAGAATTGATGAATACATTGGTTTAGTCTGTTTTAATAGGTAAACAGGAGGTCCAATCTCTGACAGGTTATATTTATTTATTTTTGTAATTGTAATCTAAACATTTTATTTCCCCTAACAAATTTTAACAAATTTGAGTGAAAACTAGATTTTATATCTTGAATATACTTGCCTAGATAAAATTGTTCATGATTAGTCAAGGGAGGAAGTGAATATGTTTTGTATAAATGTCATTGTTTTTACTTTACATAATATAGCATTTACAAAAATTGAATATTTTACAGACATCCAAAACCATACAAGAATTTGAGAACATACACAGGACAGAGCTTTATACTTTCCTAAAAAATTGCCAACTGTTTCAAAGGTTACCAGATATGTGCATGCATGCCAAATTTTATTCAGTATCACAAAAATATTAAAATATAAAGTTGTATATAACATTACCTATGCTTAAAGATGTTGGTATGACAATACTTGGACTCCAGATTTCATTAACCACAAAGTAATATGTTAAGCAACCAATCTGCAGCAAAAAACTGGAAAACTTGAATGACATCCATGGGTCAGTATATCCAACCACATTCTGCACAAACATAAAGAACAATTTATAATTAATCACACTAATATCTCCTACTCTGCATCCTACCATTTGCTTCAACACTTAAGGCTTAATTGGTAAACCACAAATCTGTTTGGTTCAGATTTGAACATGGCTCATACTACAAGAAATCTCTTGTTTCTCCAAATTGCTTATCCCAATTCTTATTTATTAGGGGAATGGGATTTAAGTTAAACGTTCCACAGAAAAAATTAATCAATATATCTGACTTTTCAATTTGTAAGTGGTTTTCAGGTGTTTAAATTTAGCTAATCACCAAGATTTTTTTAATATATGTAACCATTAAGATACCATCTTGTATTTTTAACCACTGAAGACCATGGCTTTATTCCAGTGATATCCAAATCATCTATTTTCAATTTTTCAGTAACAACAAATGATACCGCAGGCATCTTTCCCCTAATGTTAGTTCATCATAAATGTGATACCTTATGCTATCAATAAAAGTTATGATAAAATTACAGGTAAGGTAGTATATTTGCGTCATATTGTGAATTAGGTTAATATTTTAATATTTTCCGTCAAATCACAATTTTTAATAAGATAATAAAATATAAAATATTTAAAAAAACGTTCCAATTTGTAAATCGATCATTCGATGAGGAACGTGAAATGATATTTTAAATATTTTATATTTTATTATCTTATTAAAAATTGTGATTTGACGGAAAATATTAAAATATTAAAAATTGCAATCCTTTACAATGTTATGCAGTTTATTGAAGATGTTCTTATCAGATTACTCTTATATATTAGAATGAAGGTAATTTGTTTTTTATATGTCGTGATTCATCTGATGTTCAATATTAGTCTGTAAAGCAATGATTTAAAGAAAAATATTAATAAATATGGAGTAATATAGAAAGCAAAATGATGGAAGTAAATAAATAGTAGAATGTATAAGTAAAATAAAGTAAATTAATTTAATAAAAACATACCGGTGATGAGTTGATAGAGACATGAAGTGTCTAGCGGAAGACATCTAGAAGTATTACTGTGTCGGGTCGAGGTTTAATACTGAATTGCGGTTGCTCGTGTAAATCGATCATTTGATGCGGAACGTGAAATGATATTTTAAATATTTTATATTTTATTATCTTATTAAAAATTGTGATTTGACGGAAAATATTAAAATATTAAAATTACAGGCTAAATATTATACAATACAGAAATATAAATAGACCCATTCTATTTCCAGTGATGCTCATTCTGTCAGGCATGTGTGTATTTATTTGGGAATACGTTTTATCACCATTTAACTGTAACTTTAAGATCATTAATCTTAGAACTCTCCTTATCACTCAGTTAGGAGAAAAAGAGTATAATATTCTCATTGAATTTTGTATGTTAATGAAAATGTTTAAACCAGGGCTTAGAACCATGTGAAATAAAGATATTGTTTAGAGAGTAATCTCGTGTTCCATTTCAACAGTTTAAGAGTTGTGAAAGGTGTAATAATTAGTTTGAACAAGTTTACGAAATGCAATAATTAAAAAAAGTACAAAGTATACAGATTATCACAATTCATGTGCAATGTGAAGTTAAATGTACTGCACAAAATATCAATCATTATTTGTTTAAATATCTGGTAATAAATTTTACTTTAAATTGACTTACTTTTATGAACCCCCATAGGAGGAATGCAGAGCACACAGCCTCTGATATTGCAAACATGGAGGTTAGAGTTACAAAGAACTCACGAGCTGGAACATACGCCAGAAGTCTGTTAGGTTAGCAACATCACAAACAAGAAAATGCAGAGATGAGAATAATAGTGGACAAAATTACTGGCTTTGGTGCCCCCAAACGTCTACATGTCTTTTGTACAAAGTATGTTGCTTTTCAGAAAAATGCTATTTTATAAAATATTAGTTTCTAAAGAATGCACCTAGGCTTATTATCTGTTTGAATGGTTGACTTTTCTTCCAGAAAAATAACTTTTTTAAATTCCGGATAAATATTCAGCCCCCATGTTATCTACAATGCGTAATTTATATCAGAGATTATGATGAATACAGGAAGTTTTTAGATATAAAAATGTAAGACTTGCTCAAAATTGTTATTTTAACACTTTAATTTCAGTCTCGTTATTAATACTTGGTACCAGGTATCACACAATAAATTTTTTGAACACTAAGAATAATGGAACATCCTTACTATTAAAAATTAAGGCATATTTGGTCATTACTTTCTCTGCACTATCTGACACATAGTATGAAGGGATGGCAATTTCTATAACATTTTCCTCAATATGAATTTACCAAATTCCATAAAGTAGACGAGATTTCTAAAGCTTTTCATATACTTACAGCTGTTTTCTACATCATGTTTATCGGTATGATTGTAATTATTTGTATAAAATATGTCAACATCAATTCCAACAAATATAGCATATTTCCCTAATCGTATGTCGTCTGATGGTTGGAACACCCATATCATAAACACAGCAACCGAAAGGTACTGCAATAAATGCATACACAGCATTAGATTAGGCCAACATGCGTCTCCTATTAAACATATTCACTTTAATTTGCTTGTGGCCTAATTATGGGCACTGTCATTAGCTCAGACTATACAGCAGAAATAATAGGCAGATTAATAAATGGACACAATTTGAAGGTATATTGGAGCGAGTTTTCGAGTCTTAATGGCAGTATATACCTGAAGGAACTGAGGAAAACGAACATAAACATTAGTCAGGACAGTAAGTTTCCATACAAAGATTTGACCTCCCAATCAACAAGCAGGAGTAGTAACCATTCAACCGTCATGTTCCGTCCTTTTTATATGGACCAATGATACGTGAGCCTAATCACTTTATTATAATTTTAAGTCAACATCTAAAGTGTTTCTCTGTGTATCTGCATGCATTAACTGTGCTACGTCCATCAGTACATGTATTTCAGTTGCACACTTCGACATATTGGAGCAGGAACCTACTGCTAATGTTAGCGATATCACGAAATTTGAATACTGTTTACTAAATATTTCAGTACTATTAGCACAGGATAAATGTGAAAAAAAAACTGTTAGAATAGACATGTATCCATCATAACGTGTTTATATCCTACTTCACTATTAATTTCAGACTTTCGAATACACGCCAGGCTTTTCTCCTGGTAAAATAACTGGGGTTTTTCCTCGCCGCTCATCCTTTTAAATCCCGTATCATGCGCCTAACATTTTAATTAAATTAAAAAATAAATAGAATATCCTAAGCTTATTATGTCTACTAGATGAAATGTCCTACATGAAACTTTTGAACAAATTAAAGTTTACGCAGTTCATAAACGAACATTACGATAAAACAAACAAAATTCTATTTCGGAAAGACTGAAGGAAATAGGCCACTCTAATCTACGCGTATGTAACGAGAACAGAATTGTAATGGATATTAGGGAAACAGGTTTGGAGGATGTGGATTGGACTCATGTGAACATGGTAATGACATTCCTTGTGCCATAAAAGCATACTGTTAGCGTCTTAAGAATGAATTTGCCAATATAATTTCATTAGAAAATGACACGTCGCCGAAGAAATGTCCAGTGCCTTAAGTCCGTAAAACTAGTACATGTATCTCTAACGAGACCCAGCCGACCATAATGAACCAAATCGTGAAAGTCAACAACTTGCCATATAATTTCTATAAATATCGGATAGTTTCGGATTTGAACTACGTAAAGACATGACCATATATTGTTTAGCTTTAAGCAAGTACTAACCGACAAACTATGAATTCCCAATATATAAAATCATGCATACAAACAAAACTGTTTACATGTATGATTTCAGGTTTTCACAGCGGTGAATATAAAACTGTTTACACTTTCAAAGTGTAAACAGTTTAAACAGTTTTGTTTGTATGCGTGATTTTATATATTTAGATAACACTGAACGGTATGCAAGGTTTTAAGATTGTGAATTCGCAGCTAGCTATAAAACTAGTAAATTAATGGAGACCTAGATGAATCCTTGTAGCTCTGATTGTGGATAAAACATGCCTATGGTGGAGCTAAATGGTTGTGACAGATTTTTGATGCGTTGCAGATGCTGCTTTCTCAGTTTTGGCATTTTTCTCTTAAGTTATAAAATAAGGGCTGATTTATAAATTTAGAATTTCAGTTCATGACCAACTGCTTCATGATTGATAATTTTTAAGTCTACTTTTATAAATCGTTCCTTTAGGTAGAAATAGCGATTTGTCATGTAAAGAAGATCCTTCAAAACGTGTACAAAACAGTAATAACAATTTTTTGAAATGTGTGCTGATGACTGGTCAAATCATGAATGCTCGAAAACCTATTATTGTCCATTCGACATTAAAATATCTTCTATAGATTGTGACTCACCATATCCAGCGTAGCGAGAATTTTCGCAAACTTTCTGTAATCTATATCCATTATATAACAAATGTATTCTATGAAACAATTGAGCTTTCTATTGACAAACGAAGTCAATGAAAGTTTTACAATTTGAAAAGACAGCCAAAACTCTTATTTAAGAACTGAAACCGCGGTGTAACTCTTGCCAGATCCGTTGCACAAATGCGAATGGTGTCTTCTGGATCGAGTTCTATCCAACCATATGACCACAGGTAAATACTACAAGAATCCCAGAGGGAGCCACATCATTTATTAGTAGTGACAGTGCGTACAACAATTCTGTATCCAAATTAGAGCATCGTTCACGTATTAAATAATTTCCTAACAGTTGAAACGTCTATTTTTATAAAATCTTTAAACATCACTTAGGCTTTGAATCATTCGTAAAATAAAATAAAATGAAAACAAACAGTATAAAATAATTGGCCAGTAAATCAAATTACGACACTGTTCACTTTTCTGTATGATACGGCAATTCCATTTTTATACACACTGTTGGAGCTGTTTTCCGTCAGTGTGGAGACTGTTTTTTCTAGGGGTGTAAATTTTTACCTGTTTTTGCTTTAGTCATCTGTTCTGTTTTAGTGTTTACAGAGTGACGAATTCGGGATGGGACAGCGTAGCTTATTGGGCCATTCCGTTGTCGATACATGTCTCCGTTTTATACATATTGGAAAATTCATTGTATTTTGACATAGTTTATTTTTCCAAGGGTGCAGTAACAGGCAAAATATTGTCAACGATACAAACTTAGAAGTAAATAGAAACGCGGGAGTATTTATGCATTAATATAAACGAATATACAAATCAACTCTATATCTTATTGAATTATGTGAACTGAGCTTATATTACGTCCAAGAATATCCTTCTGACATTGAAACCAAAGTCAGTGACCTTCATTTCAAAACCCTGTCAATCGGAGCCATCCTGAATGAGTTCAGCTCAGATCATATCTCCTTAACCTGCTTTCCTGAAATACATTTGAGCATCTTTTTCTGATGTCGGTTCATTAATTCCTCCAATCATAACTGCGTACGTCTTATTACCCTGAACTGTGCTTAATGTTTTACACACTTCGGCTTCGATTTCCAATCGATATTTTTAATCACCATTTCTACAACGGTTTTGGAGCCCGTAAAATTATATTACTTTATTTTAATTTTTTAATTTGTTTATTTTCTTTCTTCCTATATTCTAACGAGAAAGAGAGAGGCGATTTGAATAAAATCATCCAAGGGATGGTTCAGATGCTCAAAGTATATTTTCAGGGTCTCAACAGACATTTAATTTCAGCCTCTGTAAGGTTCTGTGTGCATCTTATGAAGCCTAAGATATGAATTTAAAATCTCCCCCTTTGCTTTGCAATGTTTTATAAAAGGTACGTGATAGAGTAGTCTGAAATAGTGAATTTATAAAGATACTGTCAGGGAAGTTTATGGATGTTACCTTAAACATGACCTTTCTAGTACTAGTGTCTTTTACTTTATCATAAGATTCATTATTAAAATGTATTTCAAGTTGAGCAATTTAATAAGTTTTCACCATCAGTTACGGGAAAAGAATCATAATGTAAATGGTTCTGTAAGGGACATAATATGTAAATATATTTAATAAAGCATACTTTTATATTATAATATAAAAATATTAACACACATTTTTATAAATACAATAGGATATTATATAGTGTCCATTCAGTACTTTTTACAGGATTAATGGAATGAAGCAAAATATTAAACATTTCACTGCAACATTCAATACTGCTTTCAAGTGTTCCGGAATCCGAAATGAATAATCTTGTTGAATTTTTATACGTAAAATTAGATGATGAGTGCTGGTTCACTGGTTACAATTACTATTGGTAGCTGTGGAGAATCAGATAACTTGTCTATGCATTTGGATACTTCAGTTGATTTGGTCATCACCACAGCATGTGGAATATCTTCACATAAGCCTTCTCTGTTCCATCTCTCCTGAGCTCGGAACACAATATACCAGAAGTAGATTGTGACCACTAGAACATTAAACAATTTGAAATTTATCATTATTTCATGCATTTGTAGGTGTGGAATTTTCAATTATGGTCTTCAAGTAAACTGTGTGGACAGACTTCTATACTGATGCTGGGGCAGCAGACCCCTCCAAAACATTGGTAACCACCTACATGACTGTGTGTTATTGCAACCCAGATCAAAACTTGAAATTTATAATTGTTTTATTTAATTTTTACTCTGTTAAAGTTAGATAGTGAGGTCAAAAAGTGATTATGTAACAGTAAAAATTGTAGACAATGATCATTCATACAAATTTATCCCTTTAAAACAAAAAAATTGTTTCATATATACTTTCTGATGTTTGATATTTCAGCTACCAATGACCTCACACAATTAATTTGTATGTAATTTAATTGACAACTACATACTTCAACATTTATTATGAAATTCTCATCAGTGACAGTAAGTTGACTATGCACTTTCCCAGAGATTCAAAAAAGGGCGCTGATGTCAAAATAAAATATCAAAGAAATTGTTTATTACAGATTTGCTTCCGCAGAACAACTAAACCGTTACTCTATTTTTTAGTGTTGGAACATTTATGGCAATGCATTTGTCAAAAAATATTAAATCTTTGCCTAGAGAAGTGTATTTTTCCTTATGACAGCATATTTAAGAAGTGGATTTCGGCTTTTCATTTCTATCACTGCTTTTATTGCTCTATTTCCTTCCCTAATTCCCTTTCTTTTTATTTTATAATTTATCCCCCTATTCCTGTACTTAATTTGTTTTCCTTCCTTCCCTTCGTTATTTCTTTCTTTCATTTTTTGTTTAAGTTCCTTCCTTCTGTTTTAATCCCTAGTCTTCCTCCTTGATATAGTTCACTTTATCCCTCATACATTTTTCTTTTCTTTTCTTCCTGATCGTAGGCAATTTATTGCATATTTCTACTCCGAATGTTATACAAATTATGCTAATTGTCTATTCAACTAGCATAATTTCGGCTTAAAACAGGTATCATTGTTATAGCATCCGTAGTACTTGTCTCATTTGTCTTTGTCACGTTATGTATCTAAAGCTACAAACCACCTTGAAAAGATATTCCAAGCAACGTGACAATAGCATTAAAAGGATTTTTGGAAAATAATTTCCAGCAATGTTCCCAGGCATGGAAAAGATATTGGAATGCGTGAAGCTTATAGTGTCAGAAGTCAATTACAGTACTCCTGTAGTGACCACATCCGCAAATTTTTAAGTGACAATATATATTGTTTATCAGGTTAGATCTTGTACATCTCACATTGAAAGTTATTGTGGTGTGTGTGTGTGTGTGTGTGGCTATTTATTCTGAATGGTGTACTCATAATGTCAAGGTTGTTTATTACCCATATTCACAATGGCTGCAGTAAAAACTCCTGCGTCCAGCTCATTCTGCTTATGTATGACATAATACACGTAGCCCAGGACTTGCACCGATAAGCTTCCTGTCTCACATAAGAACCATGGTACAGTGTAACACCTCTTCTCCTGTAAGGTGATGTAAAAGAACTTGATTGAAGTGAAGCTAGAAGTTGCTTACAAATCTTTTTCTATCAAATTCACTGTTGGTTATAAAATATTAAGGCACGTATGAATTGCATTTAAAAAGAAACAAGTCCCTAGTATGAACAAACAAACAAAAGAGAATAGAGGCCAGAATTACTAATAAATAAATTATCATTAACTTATGAATGATGAGTTGAGGAAGGAAGCAGTTATGACCTATTTTAAGGGACTACTCCTGCATTTTTCTGAAAGAACAGCGAAACCATGAAAAACTGAGTCAGGTAAGTCATCCTACTGGCTGAGAATCAAAACCGATGTAGAAATATTTTTATTGTCTATTCATATTTATAGTATCTCCACAATAGTTTTATGCTTGTCATTACTATCTCACTGGGAACAATTGAAATTATTTAATGATAAAAGTTTTATTTACATTTTCAATTAGACAATTATCTTACCACTATGGTGCCCCAGATGAGCAGAGCATTGGCCAGCACTTGTGCAAGTGCAAATAAGAAGCATATAACTAGAAAATAATTGGCTGAAACACACAGAAATTTGATACATTTACTGCTCGAACAGTCATTTCTTTCTGATGCATTCACAAGTTTCAAAAACCTGCTTATTAGTGCTGCATGTCTATCTGCCCATGTGTCTCTCCTCTTGCAAGAACTCAAGAACTGCACAGTAGATTGTCATGAAACTTGATAATGAAGAACTGTCTAATGTTTGTTGAAAATATTTAGTTAAAATCTAACAAATAACAGCCCTTTATATGAAAGCCTACTAGCATTCCAGTGTGTGGAAGTGACTTTGAAACCACTTTGCAGGGGTAATATCCAGACAGACTGCTGCCCATGCAACAAAAATTGGGAATCCCCCATTATGTCATCACCCAGGCAGACGGGGGTCGGAAACGCAAACGTAAAGATCAACTCCTGATGTCACTGGTGGCATTTTCAAAGATCAAAGATTATGTTTTAGTGGAACAATCAGCCTTCTATAATTAATTATGTTACTTATAACAGATAATTCATGAATGTAGGCATAATATATCTTAGGGGCCAAAATTGTTATGCTATGTGTACATTTCTTAAATTTTGATTATGTAAGTGAAATAAGGCTGGTGTCACTGTTATTGTTATGGTGGTGGTTGTTATTATGGAAGTGAAATTTTCCGTGAGAGTGTATCTATCCTGTCTACAACTAAACATAATTTTAATTTTATATTTCTTGAATTTAGCATTCTGAATAATATTACAAATATATTTTCAGAATATTGTTGCAGGAGCAACGAAAAGTTTTACAATTTCTGACTAATGCTACTAGTTCAATTAGAGGATGTTTTTGTTAATGCTTCAGAACATCGATTTAAGGAAAGTGCACACTTGTTTAATGGTTTTCATTAATTTGAAACTTTATGGGATATTCGAGGAAAAAGTGAGGCATGCATCCAAAAAGTTGTTCCCTTCTAATTGTAACGCAGCTAAGTCATGAAAGATAAGTACAAAGTGCGTTTAAAAATGTCATATGTTTAGAACACTAACTCAGATTCATAAGGAAGTCTGACTGAAACGTTCCAAATGAAACATTTCCATAAAAAAGAATATATTCAACCTTGACTTATGTACATTGTGACATACATAAAACGTTTCATAAACTTACATTCAGCCATTCCCTTAGTAATGGTACTGTTGTTCTCAATTACTGAGTTATTGAGCATTATAATTTTACTGTCATTGCGTTTCATAACAGTAGCATTATCTTCATTAGTGTCAAATTCTTCAATATTAATTCCCAGCAGTGCGATGATTTTGCCACGTCCATCATGATGAGCGAGCTCTGATATAAGTTGTGACATTACAATCACTGAAATAACCTGTAAGAAACACACATTCATCGATAATCTGCCTTGCTATTAGTGATAACTGTCAAAGGGTTAAATGACTGTAAGAAGTCTACAAGTCTGCACATGTGCTTTAGAATTTTCTACATTTATTGTGACATGTTCATGTATGTTCATTCATCAGCATTTAACAAGATCCAAATTACTTGATCAATTTGGATCGACCTCGGTCAGGTATTATGATGTAAGGTTGTCCCCTGAATATCCCCCGTCCCTCCAATTGTTTGTAGTTGATATCATGAAGTTACAGGAATCCATAAGGTACATTTACCAAGTTATGCAATATTTGGATAAAACTCATTTATTTCGATATACTCAATAAAATTTATGCCCGTTAAAAGTGCGGCATCAATAATGTTATCCACATGTTGACAGCGGTCGAAATGCAACTTTTCAGTGCCACCCCAAGGTTGCATTTTACCTGTTGATGTGGATCCCATGAGTAAGAAATATTTAATAAAATCTTAATAGTTTGGTTTCAAAAATACATTTTATATACACTACACTCACCAATCCAAACACACCAACAAACCTCGCAGCTACCGTAATTTCTAAACGACACATCTCCTTCTTGCACATCACAAGCTTTTCATAAAATTACTCAACTTCGTTCAATGTGCACTAAGTTAACAGAACTTTTCGCTTGAGTGGACGTGTCAGCACCAAATCTTTAATAATTGTCATACGTCCACGTTTTGTTGCACAAATGCGAATGAAGCCGTGTTCACCTTGCCCTCTTAGTGAAGAATACAAAGCAGACAGGAAAACTCTGTCTGTTACCACGAAACGGGAATGCCGCTATGTTTATCATCACAACCTCTGAACAGATTCGACAGACTGCGTAAAAATTACGTTCCTATATTTAATTATTATTAATGTTTTCATCTCTTGTGTAACACACAGCGCATATACCTGCGTTTTGAACATAACAGAACTTTTTTCTGAACTTCAGTTTAATGTAACATAAGAATAACCTTAGATAACGAAGAAACTTATGCTATTTATTATTTATTCACGATAAGGTAACTCTGAAACACACTGTCAGACTAGTATAGTGACCATGTTTTTTTAAGGTTTTCATAGATGAGTTTCGATCTCTTCCTGAAACAAGTTTTTCTTCTATGCCGTGTCTGGTGGGATTCAAATATACATAATTTAAATGAATTATTGAATGGAAAAGGCCGAATACCACGTTGTATTCTTTCTTCATATTCATTCATTTGTCCAGTAAATCAATATACAGTGACATTGGACATGTCATAGATCAGGGTAAAATACAATAAATAAGGAATACAAGACATGATTAAGACCTTAAACAAAGGAATACACATTAAATGCGAACTGATTACAGATGTATATAAAACACAGATATTTATTAAAAATGAAGTAAAAATAAAAAAAAACAGTCAATTGTCAGATCTTATAACACAGTCGTGTATAAATCCATTAAACATACAAAATAAGGATCTGCAAAGTAAATCAGGCATCCTCAGGAACAAAAGAAACAAAAATCTCAGATGTCATTATGAGAGGAATTGTCATTTTCTTTCTTCAGTAGCACCCTTTTAGAAGTAGCTTCTTCAGTTTCGTTATAAACAGTCGATGATCTCTTATCGCATTGATTTGAGCTGGGAGTTTGTGGTTCTATCTCATTGTTAATTACACTCTTCTCGCGTGCACGTGATTTATTTCATACCATAACTGATCTACTAGAGTAAACCGACTCTCTTTCTAAAGGATTCCTACAGACGTCTAAAGAATTTATTGTTTCAGAATTTTGAATCAGAATAGGCCACAAACAGTCCATAATTTTTAGATCTGTTCAAGGAAGAACAAAGACAAGAAATCCAACCTGTCACACTTTTAGATTATGGCACACTTTTACCACATTTTTCTTTTATTGTTGCACGAAGGATAGGCTTGTGGATCGTAACGTTTGAGAGTTTAACGAAAGGTGAATTCGGTTACACAATGTGATTTAGATATTTTTACAGCCGTCAGTTATTTCAGAAAATCTGTGCTTGGAAGGATCGCCGTGAGTGTGCGGCAACTTCTCCGGTTTCCGTGTTATGCACTTAGTCTAAACGAAATATTGTAGGCGATGTTGAATTAAAAGTGCTTGTAACAAAGGTTCGTCATTTTTAGAAATGTTTGGAAAAAGTGCATGAAATGAAAATCTAATGGGGGGGGGGGGGGAATCATGTATGTCGTGCGTGTTCTTATATGACGCTGCTTAACCGATTTGTTATGAAATTTACTGTTGGAAGTCTGCACTGGAATTTGAAGGGGAATTTTAATTTTGAAAACATATGACGTCAGCATCACCTCGATTATTACACATAACAAATAGAATCCTCTACAGAGCAAAGTAGACCAAAAAGAAGCTATATTTTTAATATATTAACTATTTAATTTATGAATAGTTTATAAATTTTGCCTAAACAGAATAATATCAAATAACTAGAAATATCGCGAAATCTAAGTGATATTAATGTAGTGTTAGTGGCACTGAACAAACATTAAGGGAAAAACAGTGAACTGAAATATGTAGGACAGACATTGATTTTTTATTGTACTCAATATGTAACACCAATGAGTATATGTGCTAATGATGGCCCAGACCAAAACACATCTACCATATATAATGAAGGAAGACAGTGTTACCATATGAAAATGTTATAATTTATTCTTTAAATTATTTTAAATATTAATAGATAAAGAAAATGTGGCTGCCCCACTGACACATTTAGCAATGACAAGGTGATATATTTGAGGCTGATAGAACAGTGTAGAAAGTGAACACGGAGCATTTTGGGAGACCTTCCAGGTCAGGTGATAAGTGCCGAGTGTTAACAAGCATTTGACAGCCTCCAAGTCTATTAGACATTTTCATGAGACTAACTAAAAAACCAGTGTCAGTTGTGTTCTAGAGAGTGCAAAATGAAAATTTTAGTACTGTGAATGAAGATGATTCAGAACAATATGATTTTTGTGAGGGGTTGTTTGGGTGTGTATAATAAAAATGAGTTTTCTGGGTGTTTGGTCTGATGACTTTTTAAAATTTAATGGTACTGTAAACTGGGAACAGTCTCTCCTGGGTCTGAGAATATCTACATACAAGAAAAGTAAAAGCAGTCAGTCTATCAGGAGTATCAATATGATACAATCTGTCTTCCAGGTAAATGTGAAGCAACTGTTACATGCACTAAAAACATTGTACCATGCATTGGTGATTTGTTCTTAAAGAGTTACACCTATATAAGAGATTCTCTATTATTTTCTCTGGAAGATAGTAGAACAGAGAAGAACTGAAGAATATCCAACCCCAGTCACATCTGTAGACTTCTACTAGTGTGGCAATCTGAAGAGCATAATGTATGTATGGAAACCAAGAACATTCTTGGATATGAAGCATAAAATTGAAGTTGCCACTGTTGCAGACCAATAGAGCATTAAGAACAGTGGTAAAAGGTGTGATTTTAGTGTAAACACCACAAAAGTAGGGTGACATGGTAGGGAAACAAGTGAATAAAATGTGTGTACATTATTAGGTATATTATAATTGCATCCTGATGATAGAAACAGTCAGTCAGTTTCTACTGGACTGCATGGCACGATAAACCAGAAGACATATCTTCAGATATTTAGGATTAACTTACTGTGTAATTGGTCTAAGTGGGATGGTAGTTCCTTTGTTACCGACTAAGACCAAGGACATGGTGCCAACAGTGATTTAATACAAACTGTTCTCGCCAGATCACTTCATAGTAGTTCTTCAAATACTAGGGATAGATGGCAGGATATCTGTGACGTTACAGGAAATATACGTAGCCAACTTTGACATTGAGGAGGAATGGTGTCTTCTGGGTTTAATAATTCCTAATCAAACAGCGATACCAACAACTTCCGGAAGAGCAAGGAATTTCTGTTACTAGGTGCGTTTGATGCATTTGAAAGGTTAGGATCAAGATCCTGCGGTGTTTATTTTGCTAAGGATACGAGCAATTCGGTGTCGATAAACATATCAGCCTCTCAGGTAAAGGTGATGGATGTGGAAGAAGAAATTTCTTTATTTTACTACCTTACTTTGCGCACTATCATGTTTGGTAACCTTACTTTCGAAACTGACGTAAATTTCTTTAAGAAACTGTAATTATTTGATAAGTACTATATTCTTTTCTTGAACGTGTTTATATGAAATATCGAGGCATTAATTCATTCACTTATAAAAGCTTGATATCTCAAATTCACCTCGCCAAACATTAGAAAGTGCGATTGAGCCTCAGTTTTTAAGAAACTGACTGTCTTTTATGGTATTGCAAATGTTCATTATCATTTTCACAAGAGCTTGCCTTTGTCTTTATCCTGAGCCACTTTAATCCAGTCCACATTCTCACATCCTGTATATCCTGTTTTCCTGCTTGATTATACCCTCATTTAAGAACGTGTATGTGTAAATTTTAAATTTTCTTCCACAGGATGATTACTGATGTGCAGCTGGCAGTGTTTGCTAATATTCTTGGAGTGACATTGTTCCTGCTGGTAGTGTTATATCATTATATAGCTGCCAATAATAAGTCATAATGTGACACCAAGATGAATGAAAGTAAGATATAAGTCAGTTTCAGACTATTTTTTAAAAATAAGTTTTCTGTAATTTCACATTCTAATTTGAACCTCATTTTCTTCCAGGATTGATGAAGACTGCATTTAACTATACTGTAAATAACTAACTACATGAAAAGTTCATGTGTTCAAGTCCTTTTGTACTGTTTAGTTCATCAAATGCAAAAATAATGCAAAATTATACAGAAATTGTTGTTTTTGTAACCTGTCTCCAAAATTGTTTTCCCTAGCCTTGGCTTAAGATAGCCCATTTTTTCTTGTGGGACCATTGTTTAGTGTTCTTATAATTAGCTTTCAGAATCTTTCACTACAAATTACGTATGTTTTTAATAACTAGTCAGAAATTTTAAAGAGTTGCATGGCTATGCTTTAGTCACCATCAGATAGTTTAAGCAGTCATGTGTTTATACTTTCATGGCAGAAGAATAAAACATAACACAAAATTTTTGTGTTAATTTATAATGTGTGAGAGTTCCTTTGAAAACTGTGAGAACATTTATTATAAAATTGTCCCTGTGCTTAATTAAGCTCCATTCTTTGAAGATATGTTCCTGTGCTTAACTAATCACCACACCATGAAAACATATGGTCAAGTGAAGGAGTAACTATACACATTCTTAAAAAATGGAATGTATTTATGAATTTCATATGATACTCAAAATAAATACTGATTTTTTTTATAACTATGGGCAAGCAACTTTGCATATGAGTGGCTTTAACTGCCCTGGTGGAAGTCTGGGCCACACCTTGCTGGAAACATCTCAGCTTTCAATTCTGAATAGCAGTTTAAGTTGTGCAGTTAAGTCCATAGTCAGATGCAGTTTTAATTAAGGGTCTGTGTTGTGAAATGGATTTAAACATGGAAGGCATCTATCTCTTGCTCGACAGGGACCATATTATTACTGGCATAAGTAAATGCATAAATAAGCATATTATATCAGTGTTGTAATTCCTTATGCTTAACTAAAATTTGTATAATCCTTTACATACTTTTGGATTGTTCAAACTGCCCTGTTTTGGGCAGGAAATAAAGAAGTGCTAGCTGAAGCAGCTATCATCATAGCGTGGTGCAGAAGGATAAAAGTAGTTTATGTTTGGAAATACATAATCACTCAGTGCAGTACCAAGAACTATTGCAGCGTGGCTGTGGTATCAAAGTATCCTGCACGATCTCAAATGTAAAAAACCCAGTATTTTGTTTCTCAATTAAATTGCATTGTCCTGTACCTGCCACTGAGATTCGTTAGGAGTTTTATTTGCCTGTGGGTCTATGGAACATTTATTATTATTATTATTAAAAAGTAAAGGTCATTCCTTATTAATAATAATAATAAAAAATAAGTAAAGGTCTTTCCTATAGCTCAGTCAGTATAGTGACTAGCTACGGGCTGGACGACCGGGGTTCGATCCCCGACGGGGGCAAAGGATTTTTCCTCTAGCCTCTGCGTCCAGACCGGCTCTGGGGCCCACCCAACCTCTACAATGGGTACCGGGGTCCTTTCCCGGCGGTAAAGCCGGCCGGGGCGTGATGCTGACACTCACCCCAAACGCCTACATGGCGTATAGTGGGACAAACTTTACTTTAAAGGTCATTCCTACGCGATCTTTAGTTTGGACACCAATTAAGGTATTTTGTTGCATTAGGAACAATAAATAATTACATTCTATTCCCAAATGAGATATTTAGATCAGATTAAAATCTTGAAGTTTGTTCGCAATGTTTACCACGGATATGTAACGTGAATACAGAATTAGATTGACCTTGTGCGGGTTTATAAATATCTTGCATTAGACTAGAATGCGTGGCATTTCCAATCAAATTTCTATATACAGATTTGTCATTTCCAGAAATAGCCCTCTTTCTCCGTCTGTCGGAAATTTAGTATATTAAGCTATTGGTAATGCACAGACATTAATGACAGGTAGTCAGTGGTGAAACTCACATTCAATCATCTGTGCCCACATGAATCTGAATTTAAAATGGCGGCGTGTGGAGGAGGTGAAGTTTGTTAGTATTGGTATATTGCCTATTCGACAATATTTTATCATGAGGTGGTTTGTATGGGAGAGAGTTTAAGACGTGATCGTTGAAAGGGCTTGTGATGTGGCTGTGGCTGTCTGTTATAATGTTCCTGCAGTATGAGGAATTATGTACTTGTATGCCAACATAAGTGTTTTAATTTGTATTGTTGACCGTTAGAGAAGTCGTGAGTATGGACTGTATCATCCAGAATCAGTGACTAGCGGTAGAGATGGCATGGTATGGTGCTATAGAAAATCTCCTTACGCGGTGTGATAAGTTTTATGGAAGTCATGAAGTTGAAAGTGAGGTTAAGACAAAGACACTTTAGGTGCATACCGTTTCTTCTTCTATTGTTAACACATACGTGGTCTGTAGGAACACTGGAAGAACGATCTGATGACAAGTGGATGCATTTTCGATGCAATGATACAAGTTCTGTTCAAATGGTGAAGGTCAAATTCTCATCCCAAGTAGTGAGAAATGGTAAGGATTGAATACCAGTAAATACTTTTAAACATATACTTGCAATTTACTGAACTTTAGAGTCCAAAATTATGTAGGCCATTTGACATTAAGTAGCTGATTTTGCCTGCCCCAAATAAGTGAGTAAATTTGAACATAATTAACTCTGTGGAATAGAGCCCTTATTGAGAATCTGATAGTAGTTCAGCTGGTTCAATTTATAGGATTTTAAGACAATTTTAATATTACCTTCAAGCTATATCAAATTCTACCAAGTTCCATTTTAATTTTGTATGCTCTTAATCTCCCCCATTCATGCTACATGCCTCACCCTGTCATTTGGTGAAGATTGCAAGCTAAGAAGCTCCATGCAACAATATATTTACAATCTTCGTGTGTATTTTGTCCATTGCTTCTTGCCTGCTTTTTATCACTGCTGGAACTTGTGACACTTATGCATGAATTTCCAGACATGTTTTATAGAATTGTGTGATCCATTCTACTATTATAGTAATTGAAGGATGGGTCAAATGATGACAAGAGTGTGAAGAATTGCTTTAATCACCAGAAATGTGTGGTTTTTATGAAAATAATGATGCTTTGCACACACATTTATTTGCCTTCTGTATAAATATTTAGATTGTTGGTCATTTAATAGATGTGGTACGAAATGTGTACTGCAAAGTTTGGTCATTACGTAAAGAATACTTGGTACTGACCACGAAAATAAGTTTGAAACTACTAAACAATACATACAAATAGGCTCAATATAAAATTGATTGATAAAATACATAACTCTACCTGATTGTGTAAATGGTGTTAATGTTATGAAGCTGGATAACATCTTGTGTATATGTGGTGAAATTTCACTTATTATTAATCTATTTTTTATCTATTTATCTAATAATCAAAATGACATATTTTATGTATATATAAGCACAAGTTGAATATACTGATTTCAAAGAGTCTTGAGTCTTGTAGGACATATTAAGGAAAATGAAAATGGTGTTGGAGTATGTGTGCCAACCAGGATGGGGATTGGTGGCAAGGTGAATACAAACAGTATGGCAGAATACTTTTGTATTACAGATGTAAAATTTAGTTTATTAGCCAGACAAACAAGTAGTAATTAAGGTGAAGTATGTTGTATTTCAGAATATATTGTTGCATTTAATGATTACTACAAAACAAATACACGAGAAAAGTTTATCACTGCTGCACTCAATGGATCTGGAGTGGAAAATTGGAAGATTTTAACTCGGAACAACCCAGCAAGTGACTATCCCAGTGATTTTGACGTTGTTTTGGTAGGTATGAATACATTTTATTAATCAGTAATTGAAAAATGAACTGAGAATTCCATTTTTATAATTAGGTATCTGTTGACGGAATTTTATTGCATCTTACTTAAATGATAGTTATGCAAGTTGGCCGAAGTCAGAGATTTGTTTGTCATGGTTTATGATTCTTTTATACAGTGTGGAAATAGGATAGGTTTCATGCTAAGTTGTTATGTACTGAATTAGAAATACCATGTACCGTAAATTGTCATTAGTTTTTACCCTGATAGTCTGGATATCACATATTTCGGTCAATCCTAGCTCAGACAGTACCATGTTTTCAAGCACAGTTGTTTGTTGGCATCTGTACAGTGAAGATATATCTCAAGTATGTCAGGTATAAGCCGAATATCTTCTGGATTTTGTTAGGAAATCATGACAACTGAATCTTTTGGATGGCCATGCACTTAAAAATATTTAATACATATTCTTTCCTGCCCAAGTTACATAACTGTTCTACTCATAGTGAGCTCTTCAATGTGATGTTATGTAAGTTAGTGGGTCATTCAGAGTTACCATAAATATGCTTTTATCTGAGAGTTTAGTCATTCATTTAGAAATAAAACAGTACCTATGTGAGCAGCATTAGAGTTTTCTCAATGTACATTTACCTATAATTCTGTTGTATATGTTGTGTCCATAGTTTATTTTGAATGGTGTGGAGTGATGGGTATTTTGAAAATGAAATTTATAAGAATTATGTAGAGTCACAAAGCAGTTTTGCTATGGCATGATTGTTAGTCTCTTTATTGTCCATTACTCATTACTATTACATATTTGTTCCTCCAAAACCAAGCACTCTGGCTACAAGTTTTATTTTGCGTCAACATAATGTGCCTTCCCACTTTTGATGAAGTAATTTTTGGTCAGTAAACAAATGCCATTGTTATAAATCGTTGTACTTGCCTGCTTTAGCACCATGGCATTCATGTTCTTGAAATCAAAAATGTCTTTAGAAGGATCAAATTTTGAATCAGTTAAAGACATTCAGGGCAGTGTCTTTACAGTACAGAAAGGGTTTTTGGTAAAGGACTTACATTGATGTTTTTATGCAAGGCAGCAGTGTAGGCATATATGCATGGTCAAAATGTATTTTAAAGGTTGATGACTTATTTTTTTATTTTTGCAGAATTAGTCTGTTTATTTGTTCTGTCATATAAGGGATATAAAAGTGATATCAGATGGTAGGAAATTACTGGTCAAGAGAGAGTGCTAATTTGAATGCCCATTTTTTATTTCACTAATATAAATTATCATTGTATATGGTACAGTTGGAGGAAACAGAGAAGTTGAGTGGATTGGCAGCACTTAATAGGCATCCATCAGTACGGCGTGTGACTCCACAACGAGTAGTACATCGAACCTTAAAGTATGTCAACCTTACTGATTCCAAGGCAGATTGTTTGGGTCCTGGCTGCTCCTATCATACCTGGCAGTCATCTCGCCCATTGCGGAGATCCAGTTTAGCCATTGTATGTAACGTGCTTGAACATTTACATTGCAGACCTGCATCTTTGATGTTCCAGTACTGTTCCTAACGTCCAACCTCCAACATATCAGTTCTAACAAAGATACAGCCTTCCTTACAAAAGCAGCATATTGGTCTGATAAATTTATTTTGTAATGCTTCCATTCTTGTTTTGCTGTATATTATTAAAATATTGGTCATTGGTACTAGTGTACCACGAATGATGCATGTTTCAAACACTCAGTGACTATACATGTGTTAGTGATAGTTTACCTAAATAATATTATATGCTGAAGTTTGCAAAATAAACAACATGTGAAGTATCACAGGTTGCCAGATGGAAACACTGTATGTCATTACCAAATACAGTAGCAGTAAGTAGATTTTTGGGAAGATTGATGTACTGAATGTGACATGCTTCCTGATTTTAAAGTCAGAAATTTCAGAAATAAGTACATGTGTGGGAATGGATTACTGTAAGTATACTAATTTCATAATGTGTGCCAAAGGTTCATCATTTATTATAACATGGAAGAGATCCCACTTTGAGTAACATTAGTATATCTTTCAAAGTTTGCATGGCTGCTGTGTTGTTAATGGATGGTAATTAGAGCGTGTCATGGAATGATTGCTTCCAGACTAATTGTTATGAAAATGTGGCATTTCAAAAGTTAATTGGGAGAAGAACTTTCAGCCAAAAATCTCCTATTATACATGGGAAGACCATCTGTCCAGCTGCTTATTTCAGCACTGAAAATACGTGACACAGTTTTCCTTATATTTTATGTTGGTCATGTTTACTCTAAATGTTGTCAATGAAATTCATTTTGGTTCATATTGGTGAATTGTAACTGTTATTTTGCATGAATCTCAAATCATAAATCACCAGTTTTTGCAAAATGTAGCTCATGCCACATGGCATAAAACATAGATGTCATTAAGATCTACAAATTTTATTTGAATTATTTTTAAGAATAGTGGATATTTAACAGAATGCAAGGAAATGTAATTTATGACTGCACAATATCTTATGTGTAGATTTGTATTTTCAATAAATGAATATTGAAGCCAATGAGGTACTTTATAAGGAATATATTTGGAAAATAATTGTGTTTGAAATGATGTACTGGAGAATTGGAGTGCACTCTTGTTTCTGTAGGATAATCCGTGTTTTGTGTTGCAAACACACAGGTCTTCATATATTTTACTGTCAGCACTCTTCTAAAATACATGTTTGTATTTTACCAGAATAATCAGTTTTGGCAGTCTACAGGGAGGCATACTAGCAGACGGTTGTTGAGAGCTATTCCAAGGCAAATTACCACAATACTACAAGCTGATGCCCTATGGAGTATGGGAATAACAGGTATCCATTATCATACATTTCTTTTGTAATTAAGTATTGAGAGGTGACATTTTTGAAATGTTATTTCAGGTGTTGGGCAGATCCCATAAAGCCACTCTAAATACACCCTTATTCTCCCATACTCTGATCTTATGTTAGTAATTTATTATTGATTAGGTTGCAATGAATTTTGTTATAGGAACTGGTGTGAAGGTTGCAGTGTTTGACACAGGCTTAGCAAAGACACATCCACATTTCAAGAAGATAAAGGAGAGGACGAACTGGACAACTGAAAAGACTTTAGATGATGGACTTGGTCATGGAACATTTGTAGCTGGAGTAATTGCTTCAAGTCAGGAATGTCTAGGGTTTGCACCAGATGCAGAGCTACATGTGTTCAGGGTCTTCACGAATAATCAGGTAATTTGTTTGTTTGTCCCCATTTTAAAGAACAGCAACATGGTGTTATGTGTAGTTTCTGAATGAACAAAGGTTTTTTTTCCACTCCTGTTTTCTTTCCTCTGTGTGTCTCTCTCCCATGGTCAAACTTAATATAAATGTAGAAGTGTAGTGTGTGTTTGTTTATGTGGTGGTAAAATCCCTGCTTCTGCTGGAATATGTGCTTCCCGGTCACTTAACTGACCAAGTTGTCCAGATAAGTGCGTGTGAACTTTGGGTTAAGAAGTAATTTGGATAATTATTTACTCCTTATATAGCAGTAAACTTAATATTGTCTTCAGCCATTGTAGCATACTGAGTTGGGTGGTGTAGCTAATAGTATAGATCTCTTCAAGTATTCCTCTGGCCATGAAATAGGGTTGTGATATGGATGATGGTCTGTATTTTTATTGGAGTGTCTGTTCTAGTATTACAATAATTGTTGCAGGTATCATACACCTCCTGGTTTCTCGATGCTTTTAACTATGCCATCTTAAAAAAGATTGGGGTTCTGAATTTAAGTATTGGTGGGCCTGACTTTATGGATCACCCATTTGTTGATAAAGTATGGGAGTTGACTGCAAACAAAGTGATTATGGTGTCAGCTATTGGCAATGATGGACCTCTGTATGGGTGAGTAACAGCTCTCGGTCTAAAATACTTGGCACCTGTCTGTTCCATTTTCTTGTAACCTGTACAATATTTGGTTATACTGTTCGGTATTTTGACACTATAAACATTAAAAACCAAAACATTTGCATGTTGACTTGTTTCTAAACTAGTCTTAACACTGTAATTGTTGTGGGTAATTATTGAACTCCCCTCCCCCTCTAACCAGGAATTCTTTGATTAAATAAAATTGGACTCATGAAGTTTCTTGTCCTCTTAGCTCTGTTACTTTTAGTGAAAATGTGTCAGTAGGTGGAATGTTGTACAATTGGTATCTTAGGAGCTTCTGAACCCCCAACAATATTTTGTCTTCACAAATTTTAATACAACCTTCATACAATTAAAATAAACTTGATTACTCTCTGTTATGTTTCCAGCTAGGAGAAAAATCAGTGTTACAGCATGCCGTACCCTTGTACTGTCTACAGTGCACAATGTCCTCTTCTGTGGGACACAACTGTACCACCCATAACAGTGCAAGGGTTAATATCAAGTCCATTAAAATGTTTAAAATCATTATATATTATGGTTTAGCTTACAAGTTGGACTTAAGATTGTATAGCTGCACTTTCTTTCTCCACATTATCATCATTCATTAACATTTGCATTATATTGCTTCATTTTATAACAGAACTGTTCTTTGCTTATCTCTCACAAAACTCTTCTTACATCTGGGTCTACACTTTCTTCTTTATTTCATATATCTTGCTTTATTTGGTCTCTCTGTCTAGTCCTTGGTCTTCCCAGTGATCATTTATTGACCATTTTAATTTTTGTGCCCTCTACTATGTGTATTCTTCATATGTGTGTGTCTCTCTCATAGTTTATGTTTCTTCTGCATGTGTCAAAATAGGCAAAACTTTAACATTTTTTGTTCTTCTTACTTATAAATGATATTTCTAACAGTTGGATAAAATTTCCCAGCTCTGTTGCGTATTTTATGTCATGTATATGATTTAGAACAAATCTCTATGGAGATATGGAATAGGTTAAATTTAGCTCTTTTAGTTTGCCTAATAAATGTTAAGAGTGTGTCATTGATTACTGACTGTTTTGTGGGGAAAATGTACTAACTAGAGAATTAAAATAGAAGGTGTAACATTAAACTTTCTCATTTTTAGAACACTAAACAATCCAGCAGATCAGATGGATGTTATTGGTGTGGGAGGTATAAATTTTGAAGATCAAATAGCAAAGTTTTCTTCCAGAGGAATGACTACATGGGAACTTCCACAGGGGTGAGTTTTTGGAAACCACATAACAAATGAGAAAACTGAATTTTTGGGAAATATATTTTTCATAATAGAAATCTTTTATTATATGAATGGGGTGAGTGGTAAGTAAAATATACTTGAACTACTTGAATTTTGTTGAAGATAAAGAGATATGATTAAATATACTCTCTGCCTGTTCTTGTCCTTCTGATTTTTATTACTTGTGTCATTTGTCAGTGTAAAAATGCATGTTTGAAGTAATCTCTTCATGTAAGTTCTCCCCCTTCTACCAAGTTTTTAGTGTTTTTGCTTTTACAATATATTAAGAGTGCTCAACCTATCTTAGTCTTGATTTTATTTCTAATGACACAAGATGAAGTATATAAATAGTAAGTTTCTGTCATATATTGACACTGCAAAAAGATATACAGTGGATTCTGTTTAATTTGGACACGTCGGGACTAGAACACTTGGCCAAATTAAGTGGCTGCCCCAATTATGCGAAGTTCCACGTAAAGAGTTAAAAAGGTTTGTTCTTTAAGACTTGTCCCACATAAACGGCTGCCCCAATTAACCGATGACCCAGTTAACTGGAATTTACTGTATTTGTACTTTTTTGCAATGAAAATGTAGGTTTAATGAGTATTGGTCAATGTTTAGGGTATTTATCATTGTTTTACCAGCAGATGGCATTATATAGCCCCAGTATGAAAAAGCACAATTTAAGTGCTATCTTTTTGTTAAGTTTGTAGTATCATTTAACAGAAATTAACATTTAAAAACTTCAGATATGGCCGAGTGAAACCAGACATTGTTACTTATGGGTCTGCTGTGAGAGGATCAAGTATTAAAGGCAGTTGTCGAACTCTGTCTGGCACCAGTGTTGCTTCACCTGTTGTAGCTGGAGCAGTGACTCTCTTAGCTAGGTAAGTCTTCCTGAAGCTGCAGTTACATTAATATTAATTGGATCTATCTGTTTAATCTACAAGTCATCTCCTTTGTTTCAGTGTAGTACTTCCCAAACCTTATGAAAATCCTCCCTGAAAATTTATTAATTCATCAGCTTGAGCTGTAACTTTACACATTTTTCATATTTTGTTTGCCATATACGAGGATAGGAAGGTAGTGTAACTGTATACTGTATTTACTTGAATGCAGCAATTTTGGCTTACAGAATGGCCTCACATTTTTCTATAGCTTCTCTATGACTTTTTTATGTTTATGATTAGAAAAGACAACAAAAATACAGGAACACCATTTACTATCACACATTTTTCCCAGTGAAAGTCATGAAAAACTTCACTTGCCCAACTTGAAAAACCTTCTCCCTTAAAAAATGTTAATAATCACAGAAGCCCAGTCTTGAATATTCTTTGTCATTAGCATCACCTGATTTTGGTCTCTATTGGAATATAGTGGTGTGTTGCATCGTGGGAATGCCATCAATCCAGCCAGTATGAAGCAGGCTCTTATGGCTTCTGCTCGGAGACTGCCAGGTGTCAATATGTTTGAGCAGGGTCATGGCAAACTTGACCTGCTCAAGGCGTACCAGATTTTGAACAGCTACAAACCTCAAGCCAGCCTAAGTCCTAGGTAAAACACATTCACTTTTAAGTGAATGACAGATCCAAGAGAGATATAGTGATATATCATTATCAACCAATTGAAATGATGAAAAATGTGTGAGGAGTAAGAAGGTACAGAGTTGTAATGACATTTCATTAAAATAGTATTTTTTGTAACGAATGTTTTTGTAATTGGATTGTTAAGGAATAACATTTGTATTTGTTGCCACTGCTGGCATAAATCTCCACCTTTACCCAGGGTCAATTGCGTATGGCAATCTAAAATGGCATATATGCTGGATATGGAGGGTTGATATGAATGAAGGTGGTACATTTGTCATTGATCTAATTTGTATGTGCTGTATAAAGATTAAACATGTGAATTGTATGACAGTTGTAGCATAAATATAAATAGGAGTTTTTTCTTTGTTGCAGCTACGTGGATCTTACTGAGTGCCAGTACATGTGGCCATACTGTACACAGTCACTGTACTATGGTGCAATGCCGACAATTGTAAATGTCACTATTCTGAATGGTTTGGGGGTGTCAGGCCATGTTGTAGGCAAGCCACAGTGGCACCCTTACACTCCACAGTTTGGTCAGTACTTGGATATAGCGCTGACTTTTTCTGAACTGCTGTGGCCTTGGTCAGGATGGATGGCAGTAAGCATTGCAGCTGCCCGAACTGCTGCCAGCTGGGAAGGCATTGCACAGGGACACATTGCACTTACTATAGAATCCCCACCGGAAGATGGTGAGACAGAATCACGACAGTCATCTGTGAAACTTGCGATCAAGGCCAAGATAATACCTACACCTCCGAGACAGTATGCATACATAATTTACTTTCTTTTTTTATTTGGGAGGAAGTGGGGCAGATGTAGCTGTGAGTACAACTAATACATTTGTCACAGTTTGTAATAGTCTTTATAATGGTATTTTCTTTATGAAATGAGTGCATTGAAAATCATTGTAATTCCAGTAAATTGAAATGGGCATTGATATTCACTGAGACTTCAGGCAGGCTGACTTTATGTTGTTAAAACTGTTTATGTTTCACAATATTTTTCTTCTTTCTGGTAATGGTGGATATGGAAAGTGAATATATGAATCCAACAGTGTGGTTGATAAAACATTGTTTACTTTTTTGGGGGCAGTTTTATTATTCCAGATGTTTATGCAACAGAATTGGAGAACATAGCTACATTGTTTAATTTACATGTTCTATAGATTAAAATTTTCACTTTGCAGCAGTTTCTTCTCAAAATTTGTAAATTTTATCCCTACACTTTCATCAAGGTAATTATTTAGAAGTTGCAAGTTTTATAACTGACTCTTTCTTCATTAATTTTACATGTATAAAGTATGTTATGAAAATATGTTGTGTGGACATTGTAAATGTTTTAATCCATATCTTGATGACTGACTTGATAATACTAAATGTCTGACATGTTTCAATAGCAAACGCATTTTGTGGGATCAGTATCACAATCTCCGGTACCCACCAGGGTATTTTCCTCGGGATAATCTCCGTATGAAGAATGATCCTCTGGATTGGAATGGAGACCATATTCATACAAATTTCAAGGTAAAATTAAAGAACTCTTTGTGATACTCGTATACTTGAGCTGAGTACATATATTATATGACTTGAAAATCACCAAAGTTAAAAATAAAAATGGTCATGATGATGGCTGTCTTCTAGGTTGTAGGGCTGTGTAGTCTGGTAGAAGTTTACCAACATTTCAGAGGTCCTTGCTGCTTCCATCATCATGGCTGTGAAATGTTGAACAATATCTAAAGAACTGTTATGGAATTCAAAACCAGGCCCTCTTTTCTACAATTTTTCAGTTTTGTGAGCATGAACTTATATCCTTACTCTGTCCAGTGTACCTTAGAAAGGCATGATATATGTACGTAGGGCAGTCAAAAAGTTCCTGGAATTGTGGTATAGCACTGTAATGGTAGGACATATGGCAACGCTTACCTAATCACCTTCAAAGTAGGACCCTTGTGTACACACACACACTTGCTCCATCGATCCTGCCATTGATGGAAGCACTGGCGGAAGGCTTCATTTGGAATCTTCCCGAGTTCGGCTGTCGCATTCGACACATCGCTGGTTGTACAGCAATTCCTCCCTGAGAAAAGCATTCCCGTCATCACCCAACCACCATACTCTCTGGATCTCGCTCTGAGTGACTTCTGGCTGTTCCCTACTCTGAAAATGGGCCTCAAGGGGGCGCGTTTCACCACGATGGAGGACATAAAATGGAATGCGACGGCCAAACTCCGGAATATTCCAAACGAAGCCTTCCGCCGGTGCATCCAACAATGGCAGGATCGATGGAGCAAGTGTGTGTGTGCGCAAGGGTCCTACTTTGAAGGTGATTAGGTAAGCGTTGCCATATGTCCTACCATTACAGTGCTATACCACAATTCTGGGAACGTTTTGACTGCCCCTCGTATGTTCATACACATAAGTGAAATGTATGGCGAGGTTTTCTCACTATCTTTTGATGTTAATGTAAGAGGGAGTGGTATATTGCAGGATATGTACCAGCATCTGCGTAACAGTGGCTACTATCTGGAAGTACTGGGGTCTCCATTCACCTGCTTTGATGCATCTCAGTATGGAACGGTGCTGTTGGTTGATGCTGAGGAGGAGTACTTCCCTGAGGAAGTAGCCAAACTGAAGAGAGATGTTGACAATGGACTGTCTCTTATAGTTTTTGCTGATTGGTACAATGTTACAGTCATGAAAAAAGTCAAGTTTTATGATGAGAACACCAGGTATATGTCACTCAGTTTAACCTTTTTGTGTGAAGCTGATCTGGATGTTTAGTTTAAGTCCAATTTAAAAGTCTCTGAGAGTATGAAGTCTTTAGAGCAGTTTTACTATATGCATCACATACTTCATCATTCAGTAATTTTGAATGGTATTTAGGTATGAAGTGCCTACATTGCTGTCTGGTTGGAATAGTTATTTGAGCAGGCCTTTTCCATACATGTGTATTGGGAACATATCCAGTAATTAAAAAATTAGATTAGAGTATTAGTTAATTTATATTTATCACATGATTGAGCTTGAGTGTACTGTGTTTGTTTTGCTTGTATATAAAATTAGCTTACTTGAGGTGCCAATTTTAAGCATACATTAACAATATGTCTCTTATTTCTCAGGCAGTGGTGGATGCCAGATACTGGTGGTGCCAATGTTCCGGCTTTAAATGACTTGCTTTCATCATGGGGCATTGCCCTGGGAGACAGGGTGTTTGAAGGGGACTATACTATTGGTGACCACGATATGTATTATGGCTCTGGTACCACAATAGCCCGTTTTCCTGATAGTGGGATTGTCATTTCTCAAAAACTGAAAGATCAAGGTTAGAATTTTTTGCTTATTTTTAGTTAAAAATTTCAGTGCATATACAGTAAAACCTCATTCATTTTTGTATAATTAAAAATACCATTGAATTTGAAGTCAAGGTTTGCAGCCATTAGAAAACATGTGTTTTTATATTTTTTTAAAGTTAAAAGTTCAAATTAGGTTTTTTTTGTCAGTAATAATTCAAGTGAATAGTAAAATCTGAATAATTCTTTAATCTTATTATCCAAAAAGTAGTTTGTATTATTTTTGAATAGGTTTTTCTGGAGCTATTCTTCCATGTGTTAATACCCTGTTGCTTAAAATTAAGCTCAGGGACAACTTTCCCTTTCTTACCCACCAACTTTATGACTGTATAGTCCATATATTTGGAACTGAAATAACAAATACCTCAAGCTTTGAGCAGCTGCTGGATCAGTGGTATTATGATAGTATTTGTGTACAGTGAAACCAGGCCATTTTGTTATGTGTAACTTAGTGGTTTCATTACAAAGATTATTTTAGAAAATATCTTTTTTGATAATTGTACTCTATTTTTATGAACAGGATTTATGTTTAATTTATGTGCAATTTAAATATCATTAATAAAAACTACAATCTGCTAGTGTTTATTGCTACCCTGTTGCAATATTAGTAGTTAGTTTCAGTTACTATAACCAATATGTAATTTCTGTTACAGCAATCAAATAACTGAATGGGTTTGATTTAAAGTTTGCATTTTTTGGCCTCAAGCACATGAATTAGTGAGGTTTAACTTCACTAGAACAGTTAATATTATAGATTGTGTGGAAAATATGATTTTAGGATTGCCTGCAATTGTGCGTAGCACAGAGTAAAAGGACAGTATGCGTGAGAGAATTCAGTGATAACTGCAAGAGTGAAGAGTGACAGAAAAACTGGGAAAAATCATACCATTATCACTTTTGCCGTCTTGTTTCTAGGCCAAGAAGTTTTGGGTCAGGAAACAGAGATCACAGAAAATGTTCCTATCTTGGGATTGCTTCAGAGTAGAGCTGCTGAGAAGAGTGGGAGGGTTGTTATTTATGGAGATTCAAACTGTTTGGACAATAGCCATCTTCAGAAAGGTATTTAGTAAATTTTATATTTCAATATCTGTGTATATTTCACAGTGTAGGTTGATTAAATTTCAACTTGTCTGTCATTTATATTATTTCTTTTTACTTTTTAATTTTCTTTCATTTATTTCAGATTGTTTCTGGATGTTGGATGCTCTTTTAGAGTACACATCAACTGGACATTTACCATCAATATTTAAGGATCATCAGTCACAGTTCATAAACAAAATCACAGACCTTCCTCAGAGAATGGAGGGTAATCATCTATACAGGTAACTAAATTAAATTCATAAGTATTTTTCACTTTTAAAATATGAGAGCAGTAACATGTTTTATCTTCCAACTAATTAAGCTCATTTTACATTATCTTCCATGAGCAGTTGATAGGTATTCATCAAGTCATAATGTCCCTCTTGTCTCATCATCCTTGACTTGATAACAATGACAGTAATAAGTAAAGAGTACAAGAGTACTTTCATTGCAGACGCCAATAATTTTATTCTTCCCTAAGAATGCAGAACTGAGTTTCACACTCTCATCAATTAAAATTATAGTTTATATAATTTAATCTTGTAGATAAGTATATGATCATGAAGAAACAAATGCTCAGTTTTAGATCCCCCTGTACTATTTTACACAGTACTTCTCTGAAGACTAATAAGAAGGTTGTGTTAAAATTTTCCACAAATGAAAATTAATAGGTGTACTTTTAAAACGTAAACAGTAATGATACCCATATTTATGATTACAAGCAATAACAAATTTTGACCCAAGTAGGATTCATTCCTGTAACCATCTCTCAAGTTTATCATGAGCTAAATTGTATTTTATTGTAAATGAAACGTTACAAACATGATTTATTGGCCTGGAAATCTGTATTGTATAAGTAGGGTTTATGAGTTCTCCCAGGAACTATTTATTTTGAATTTAACAGATTTTTGGCAGTGCTGGACAAAAATTAGCTCTTCACTTGGCATCAAAATGCCTAACATCTAGAAATTATTATAAAGTAGGTGTTTCTTTAATTCTTTTAGGCTTGAAATGCTCCTGAGTGTGTAAAGAATGACAGTCTATATTTTAAGATTATGAAGTATTCATGTGGTGAAATTTAGTTATCAGCAACTTTTTCAGGTATTCCAAGGTGCTAGAAAATCACATGGGTGCATTGCAGACAAGAGCATTGCCTCCATGTCCACACCTTGTGTGGGCACAGCCCATACCACTCAACAAGTCCGCACCAACGTACGTAAGTCTTTCCATCAGCAATTGGTCAGAATGAGTGATGGGCGAAAGTTCTGATACCAAGAAGCACAAATAAATTGTATTTCTCTCATGTTGTCAAATGAAAATAATTTTCAAAGATAAAGATTTGAAAAATTCATAATATTTATAATGTTATTCTCTTTTTGTGTTAACTCTTATGGTTTCATAGTGAAGGAACCTATCTCATTTAAATACATCAGAATTCTTCCTTGATTTACGCCACTTCAGCTAACGACCCTGAGGAGGTGAAACATAAAACTGGCGTAAATCGGGGCCTACCTGTATTTGGTTTCCCTCATAAGGGTTTATATTCAGTGTCTTTTATGTTCATATATAGAATTTTACTAGGATTTGAGAAGCAACCATGTTCTTCATTGTTTTTCACCTAATACATTGACATCTTAAACACACAAAAGT